ATATTATTGAACAGGAAGGCCTCAGTGTTGGTCAGACAAAACGAAGAGCACTTTCACAGCAATGGCGCTTCTTTTTATCTTCTGAGCCTGTGCAACGTGGTTTGGATGCGGGAATTATTGCAGGCAGCTTTTCCGCCGCTATTTTTGCCCTTAAAAGTCCTAGAAACCGCGTTCCTGCCAAAATAGGACTGGTTTTCACTCTTGGATTTTGCGTGGGTGTTATTGCTGTACCGATGATGGTTATTACAGCTGATGGATATAACTCAAGGCGCATCAAGGCTTTAGAAAAGGAATTGTTTCTGAAACAGCGTGAGGAATTTTATAACAAGGGAAAGACGGACGCATGAATAATTATGTTCATATTTATTTATTTGGCTTTTTTATTTTAATTTTTTTTTTTTGTTTTTCCTATAAGAGTTGCAGGATAAGTCGAACTGTTTTTGGAGACTGTAATTTTGTAATATTTATTTATTTATTATTTATTTATTTATTTATTTTTGGATAGCGTTTCTAAGCTGCCGGGTTTGTCGCATGGCTGCTAACTGCGAGGGATTGTCAAGCGAAAACACGGCTCTGAGAGTTGAATGTGAAGCCCAGGAAGCTGAAATAGCTCAATTAAGAAACTTTCTTCAGTTTTCGGTCACAAAACCTGATGTTTACCCTGGCCAACAACGTGTTACACTTAGTAAAGGACTTAATGTCTTTCCTGAAAAAGCATGGCAGCAGCTGAGCACTGATACGCCACATGTTGATGATGCCGTTGTGATTTCTGCGCTAGAAGGGCAGCTGAATGAGAAAAATAGGCAATTGAATGCATGCCTAAAGGAAATTGCGGAGCTCAAGAGTTACCTTAAAGAAGACGCCTCAGGCCGCACAAATACACAAGACGAAAATACATCTCATCTATTGTCCCAGATTAGCTTTCTACATAATGAAGTAGAACGACTAGAGCAACAGGTGGCAACCGTTCGTGCCGACAGTACGAGGGAGGCCCATACTCTCGCTATAGAATTTAATGAGAAGCTTGGCCAGAAGGAAAAAGAGAGTCGTGCTACTACCGAAAAGTTAAGAGCTAGAAAAAAGCGGAATGTGGATGGAGAGGATCTTCTTGTCCGTTGCAAAACCCTTGAAAATCAACTTGCTATTGCTCTGTCAGAAAAGAACTCATTGCTCGTCGAGAAAAATGAACACTGTACGACGATTCGAAAACTCGAGGCAGCTCTTAAAGAACGTAAATACGAAGTTTTGGAAGTACAGAAGATGGCCTCAAATGAATGTGTGGCGAGTGGAATACAAATCAAGAGCTTACAGGAGGTCATTCAAGTTTTGTCGGATGAAAGATCAGCTCTGCAAAAACAACTTGTTCAAATTCGTGGTGAATTAAACGTTGAAAAACTTCATGCTGAAATTCAAGTTGGGAAGAATTTGCTCACTGCTTCGACTCAAATGGAGCCCCTGCAGGTCGCCGAAAAGGAATGTCAGGTGAATTCCGTTTTATTTACTGCTGAGTATGAGGCACAATCTGTTCAGAGTTTGAAACATATGCTTGAACTTAAGTGTACCGAATGTGATGATTTACGGGTCCGATTAGATGCTCTTTCTTTAGCGCATCGAGAAACCCTTTCAGCTCTTGAAATAACGAAAAAGTCTCTTGAAGAGGAAATTGAAGGAAGAAAGTTTCTCAGTGATGATGCGGAAAAACTATCTTTGCAAGTGCGCTCTTTGCAACAAAAGTGTAGCCAGCAGGCGTTATCTGAGAGAGAACTGCAGGCAAGAATAAACCAAATGGAGGAACAAAAACGGCAGCTGAGACTCAATTTTACGAGTATAGAAAGGGATAAGGGCGTGCTGGAAGAGCGACTGCAACAAAATGAAAAGGACATGGAACAACTGTTGGCAAATAAGAACTACTGCAACCAACAAGTTGGGCAACTTGCTCATGAAAATGAGAGGCTCCTAGCCGAAGTACAGCGTCTTCACCAGCGTGAAGTGCAACTAACATACTCTTTGAAGGCGAAGGATGGAGAGCTGCGTGAAATTCTTTCTGCGTATCAAAACGCTGTAAAGGAGGCTGAATCGCAGGTGGAAGCTCAACGATCCATAGAACGTGAATTAGAAGCTATTCGTGCAACTTTAGCATCTAAAGAACAGTGTATACTCTATCTTCAGGAACAACTAAATCAACTGCATCATAGAGACCAACAACTTTCCTTGGATTTACAGACATTTGAATACGAAAATGGTCAATTGCATCGACGACTTGTACAAACAGAGGCATTAGTAACACAATTTGAAGCCAAATGTAATGATTTGCAGCAGGTTTCCTTGGCAAAGGACAAAACAACAGAGGAGTTGCAACAAAGCCTTGCCGAACTGAGCAAACAGGTTGCCTTAAAAGAGAACGAGTGCATGCTTCTTCGACACCGATCTGAATCTATTCAATACGACCTTTCACGCCTCCAATCAGTTTATGAATCTGAGTCATATCGCTTGAGAGAGTTGGAGAATACCAACGCACGTCTTGTTGTAAGAGGAGTGATGATTGGAGACAGTGACGAGAGGTTGAACCCTTTTCGCGAAGAGTTGGAGGTTACTAAAGAAAAACTTCGTGAAAAAAGCATGGCTCTTCAAAGACTGAAGGATCAACTACAAAAAGAAAAGGAAGAGCGGATGAAATGTATTGAAGAATTGGGAGCGGTTCAAACTTCTTTGGAGGAAGCATTGCTCTCCAAGGAAAGGTTGCAACAGGTGGTTTTGGATCAGGCTGCCACTCTATCCCATTTATCTCAATAGCATTAGTTGATTTTATTTATTTATTTTGAAATATTATTTTTTTTTCTTCTGGATTTCAGTGAATTTCTTATTGTCGTCATCGGCGTATAGATACATAATGTAACTAATGTTGTTAAGAATGATACTGTGGTGAAATTTCCTCTCTCTCTCTCAAACAGCAACAACAAAAACAAAAAGACTTGCGATTCTTCAACTTCTCTTGGTGCACTTACTATTATCCACGGTTTCCGGTTAGTTGTAAATGCATGATTACATCACATTCATTCGTGCAATTTTGATATACAGTTTATCATCCGTGGGGATGATGCTGAGCAATAAACTCGCTGTGATGGCGCTCCCGCTGCCGTGTACCCTGGCATTGCTGCAGATGACAGCTACGCTTGTGCTGCTTGTTCCATTCCGCTCGCATGTGGAGGCAATGACGTTGAGGGTCGCACGTGAGTGGGCTCCCGTGGCATTGCTGTTTGCCTTCATGCTGTACACTAGCATGAAGAGCTTTGTTTATGCCAATTTGTCTACTGTGCTAACGTTCCGTAACCTCGGTTCCATTGTAACGACAGTTGCAGAATATTATTTGCTTGGCGAATTAGTAAATGGTGAGGTTATTTTTTCACAGGTTGCCATCTTTTCTGGAGCCGTGGTGTACGGCTGGGCAAACTCCACCTTCACCATGGTGGGATTAGTGTGGATGCTCGCCAACGTCGTCGGTCAAGGGTGCTATGGAATTCTTGTGAAGCATATGACGACGAATGTTCCGCGGTTTGCATCCGCCACCAAGTACACCTTGGCCTTGTATAATAACGCCATCGCTATCCCGATGGTTTTTTTAATTTTTATTCAGCATGACGAAATACGGTATATTTCTCAAACGCTACCCGTCATAACCGGTTTTGGTTGGTTTTGGATTGGGATTACGTGTGTCCTTGGTTTTATGATTTCAACGTCAGGATTTGGTCTTCAGAAGCTTGTTTCTGCCGCCACTTTTATTGAAGTAAACAATTTGACAAAGTTTTTCAATATTCTTATCGGTGTCATTTTTCTACATGATCCCATAGGTCTTGTTGACGGCGCTGGATGCGTCATTGCTCTTGTTGCAGGTGCCTGGTATGCCTCAGCAAAATATCGGTTTAAAGATGCTCAATCAAACGTACTGCACACAAACCTGCGTGAATGCTGTGGTACATCTTTCTGTGGAAAAATGGTTCCGTGATGGTTTATGATAACATGCAGGGCGATATACTCGTAACTTTATGAATCTTTATTATTATTATTATTATTATTATTATTTTCTTGGCGGCGTTGGGATAATGTTTTTTTTTTTTTTATCTTGTTGTGTTATCATACTCTTATATATATATATGTGTTCTTCATGTAGTTGCGGAGCCCGTTGGTGGTTATGGAGTCTATCTTTTGCGTCGAGCAGGTCAATGTTCCTCCTGAGCTTGGGACTATCATGAAACAATATACAAAGGCGGTTCTCCGCGATAGGCCTCAGGATCTCTACAAGTACAGTGCAAATTTTTTTGCAGCGCTTTGTGGTCAGTCTGCTCCCTTTGACAAGGATGGACATTTTGTGGAGGCGCGCGAGCTCGAACCGATGGAGCACCTTGTGGACAGCGAAAAGGAAAGCGGAGAAGCCGTTTCGCCCACCCCATTGGTTGATAATGAAGGAAAAGATGTTATCCGGGGTATTTTTAATGATTACGATGTCAATGGAAATGGACGATTATATAAAGAGACGGTGCCGGCATTACTGGCGGATCTGCAACAAGCTTTGGGGCTGAATAAGTTGAAGAATATTAGAGCCGAGGAACTTTTGGATGTGCTTCACACCGATGAGAATGGTACGGTCGATCTTTTGGAACTCCGTGAACTGGTTTTTCGCGTTGAATGACCCCTTTGTTGAATAGGGTAAGAATAGGCGTTGCTTTCCTGCTCCGCCTTTCTATTTCTTGTATGTAATGATGAAGATGAATAAGCATCTCCTGTGGTCATAAGAACTGGCTTTGGGCATATATATATATATATTTATTCTATGTATTTTGTCATATTGTTGTTATGTGACCCGAGGGGAGGGGAGTTGGAAGGATGGATGAATAAAAGAGGGAGTTTTTTGTTTGTTTGTTTTATTTTTATTTTCTGTCGTTGGTTTGCTTCTATTCTATTCTTTTTTTTTTTTTTTTCCCTCTTTTGGCTTTTCTACCAAAATGGGGTATCAGACAATGAGTACGAAACGTCAGGCTCCAAAAGAGAAGTTAAAGGCTGTTGTCAACACTCCCGCTCAGGTGTTAAACGTCGATGTGGATTTGAGGCGATTGCATGAGGCATGTGGTTCTCTTGGAGAATACATTGTACCATTTATGAGGCGTCTTAAGATGGAACTGCAACGTTTAAAGGATGGCGAACAAGCCGATGTACCTACAATTCCCCTTTTTGTGCATGGTGAAATTCCATATGCCGAGATAAAACAGCTTTTTTTAGATGTTCTTTCCACTTACCCATTTTTGCGGGTGATGCAGCTGCATCACTGTGCCATTGGTGATGAGGGTATTCTTATCATTGTTGATTTTATCCGATCGTATAGGCCATCTCCGGATCGAAATCCGTTTGGTATACAATGCATTGAACTTCTTGAATGTCTTATTGGACCCACTGGAGCTAAATACTTTGCTAAACTACTGAGCGAAAATGAAACGCTTACACGTTGCTTGCTTGACTTCAATCCTTTAGGTGATGCTGGTGCTGAAGCCATTGGCAAAGCAATGCTGTGGAATGGAACATTGGAGGATCTATCTTTGCAGTACTGCAGCATTGGAGCCTCCGGTGCGAATGCCCTTGCGGAAGGCGTGCTGCGGTGTTCCAACGTTCGTGTTTTTTCTCTCCGGGGCAATCCAGTGGGGCCGGAGGGAATAAAAGCCATTGGGGCAGCCCTCAGTATAGGGAATCGCATTAACTCGCTTGATATTGCTGGCACCGGCTTTGGTGGATCGTTCCCGGCGCTGGAATCGTTTTGCCAGGGTGCTGAATGTAGCCCCTCCCTCACCTCTGTGGACATGGACTATAACTTACTGGCACCAGAGGCTGGCTCGTTGATCGCCTCTCTTATTTCAAAAAACAAACGACTGGTTCAGTTTCGCGTGAATGAGCGTATGGAGGTGAGTGAGTTTCTCACCATACAAAATGCACTTGAGCAGAACATGAGGAATGCCAAGAAGAAGAAGAAGAAGACGAAGGTTCCCAAATCATGAACAGCTGATTTCCCGGTTTGTCCCATCGATGTACAGAGTTGGTTTCTTGCATTCTCCACGCACATTAAGCAAGAGAGGGGGGATAGATAGATAGAGAGAGAGAGAGAGAGAGTAATATATAGAAACAAATTTATATGCCGGTAAAAGAAAACAACAGCAACTAAAGATGAAATGAAACTATACGTCTTAGTCAATCAGCAAACAAGCAACTGAACAAACAAACAAAAAAAAAACAACAACATCCAAAAAAGAGTTGTATTTGATCACAAAAGGAATCATGCATCCTTCATTTGGCAGGGAACGAGGAAAATCTTTCATGCGAGTGTCGTCAAAACCGTCTTTTTTTTTTTTTTTTTGTGTGTGTGTGTGCGTGTGCGTGTGTGATATTGTTGCAACAATATATTTCTCCCCAATACATCTGATTTATAGTGTTTATGGGAAGATAGGGAGAGACAAAGAAGGAACACACACACACAAAGGGAATAAAAGAAGAAGAAGTTTAGACAACAATAAGTACAACAACGACAAAAAAGTGTGTGTGAGTAAAATTTTATTGTGATGGTGCTTGTTATCTCAGTGGTGCCAAACGAGGAGGGTCGTGCTGTAGACAGGAGGCATGAAAGGTATCAATTGTCTGCACTCAAGGGAAACATTGCGGTGTTTTACGATTCCCGGCGGGGTCCACCTGATCCTGAGGTTGCGTGTTCGCTGAGCCAAGACACATCACCAGATGAGGCTCCTGCACAACCATTTTTTGTGTGTTCCTTTGACGCCATTTGGGACGCTCTGCAAGAAGACAAATCTTCGACAAAGGTTTCAGATGCGGATGTGATGGAAGTTCTGATGGCCGACGTGGGTGCGCGAGTTGCGGCACGAGAAAACGTCACGATCATCAACCGAGGGGCTCATGCGCATCAATTTGTTGAAAAGATTCTTCGATCGCTTCAAAAGAGAATTGAAGAATCCGCGGAGAACGCGATGCAAGTTGTGGCCGATGAATTAGCGAAGGAGAAGCAGATGCAACGCCTTCTTCAACTGGAAAACGAAAACAACATGCAGGTTGTGAAGGAGTACGTGAAGAGTAGGAATGAGTTTACAAAACCCGCAAGGACGGCCATCAAGTTATCCCCCAAGTTATTACGAAACCTACGGCAACTTCGAAAGCGAAATTTGCACTTTCTTGTGTCTGAACAAAATGCAGCGGGGAGGTTTACCGTGTTAACAGCAGCGTATCGTGGAGAGTTGGTGCCTCCGTGCATAAAAGGCTCGTGTCTTACGCCACAGTCTTTTAAAATCAAGCCACCGCCGCGAGTCCCAACCTCACCACAAAGCTCACGCCGTCAAAAGTGTTCTACACCAAGAAATTCCTACCTTGGTTCACGTATGCAGCGACGACCCACGTTGAGTACCCTCGAATTACTTGGTGAAGTGAATGAGGAGGTCGTTGTTGAGCCTCTGAAAGGAAATGGATGGGGAAAAGAAATACATTTCTATGTATTTGATGGGAAGACATCTCTATTGGGGCTTCCAGGCATACCAAAGTTTGAGAATGTCATCAAGGGATTTACAGTGGATTTCTGGTTTAGAATTGATTCGAAGGAACCTGAAAATAAACGTGTCTTTCTGCATATTATGGACGGGCAACGGGCAGACATTGGTCAATTGTTTCAAATCAGCTACAATTGCTATGATCAAATGTTTGAGGCAATTTGCATATACGTTAGGGACAGTACCAATCGAGTTTTGGAATGTCTAATGCCTCTTAAATTAGACGCCTCTTCTGAGGAGGGTGAAGAGCACTTTCACCATTTTCTCCTCAACGTACAGAGTCTGGAGGAAGGAAATCTGGAATGTTTGTTTGATGGTCAAACAACAGCGCTACAGATTGTGCAGCAGGAGTATCCCGTCATTTTTAACGCATGGCCACACCGTCTGTTTGTTGGAGGATATATGGACGCATTCAACAGGCCTACATGCGTATTCCATGGAACAATTTTTGAAGTGCGCTTTGGGCTAAACACGACAGACGGTCCCCAGACAATTGTTCGATGGCCGTTGCTTGCAGATGGGGAAAAGCTGAAGGAAGTGATGAATACGACTCCCGGAGAACATCATGAAACGTTATTAAATCTTGAAAAAGAAGTGGGTTGTCCTCCACGGACCGCACCATCTTTGGATGGAAACCTTGTGGTGACGTTGGGGCCGCTTGGGGTTCTTGGAGAACTGCTGTGCAATTGGCGTTTGGAAATCCGATTTCGGACGAATGTGAGCAATCGGACGATGAGTTTGATTGGTGTCACGGATAAACAGTGCAGAATGCAGGAATTGGGTATTGTGATGAATGCGGAGCCCGTTTTTGGAAGAGAAAGATTTCGATTCCATGAGTATAATATCACCTTGTATCTTGTGGATGCATTTGGTGCCTGTTGCTCGGCTTTACTTCGAGGAAGTGAACATCAAAATGTAATGGATGGTCAATGGCACACATTGGTATGGAAATGTATTGATAGTGAGGCAAACACATACCGGGTAAAGGTGGATGGCGTGTTGCAGGAGCTCCTGTACCTTGTACGGGAGGGACCAAGACGATTTCTTCCCTTTGTGGATTGGATATGTCTTGGTGGTCACAATACCCGAAGTTACAAGGTCCAACGGCCGTTTTATGGTGAAATTGGTCGCTTTTTTATATCTGTTCGTGGCATACCACTTGCAACATTGAACATGGACGAAGGGCCGGGGGCCTATGTGCTTCAAGATACCTCTGGCCGTTACAATCATGGGCTTTTGATTAGCCCTCTAACAAAGGCTGTTCGACGTCATGATGTTTACTGGTTCCCACACATGGAAGATATTGCTTCCGAGGGGGATGATTTTTTGGGGAAAGATCGAATCATCATTCACAAGAATAACGTGGTATCACTGGCGGCCATTGTCTTTACATGTGAATTTGCCCCTTCAGGCGTCGCACGTGAAGTGTTGTATGATGTTTTGGGGGAAACCTGCGTGGAGCCGCGTGTTGTTGAGAATCACATTTCTGATCTACGCCCCCAATGGAAAACATGGCGGGCTCTACCGGAGAGTTGTTTTCGGACAGTAGACACCCTCGTGCAGCTGGAGGAGACAATCAACAGTACACTTGCCTGTGAAAAACCCCCTGGACACTTTATGTTTGTGATTCGAATTGGTGACTGTCATGTGACTTTACTAAATTTGCACGGTCCTGTGCTCCCTTCTGACGCAACATACAATCGAAGTATTCTACGGTGGCAATACGCCTATGCCATTTCGGGCACCAAGGGTCGACGGGAAATTCTACTTAATCAAATGATTCAAGGTGTTGAGAGCATTCTTTTACGCGACACACTTACTCCTTTTGTGACCAAAAGGTTGGGCCCATTAAATGTGAATGAACAAAGTATAGTCACAGAGGACATTATTCGATCTATGCAGAATAGTGGAAAGCCATGGTTTCTCAGTGCGGTGCTGCACAACCATCTGCTTAACGCAGAGTATGGATCACACATTCATATCTTTCATCATCTTAAGGATCGCATGACGGTTGATGAGGCGGCTTCTGTTGCACTGTTTAACAGGAAATTGCTTAATGAAACAAAAAAGAAGGCGTCTCTTGTGATTCAACGGAATTGGAGGGCACGAGAGGCTCGTATAGAAGTCATGCGGCTTCGCTGTGAAAGAGAAATTCGAGAACGAAAGGTGGAGGAAATCAATTCACTGCGGATGAATCCTTTTATGAAGGCAAAGGAAACCCTTACCGCATTGCTTATTACATTGCATCAGATTGATTGTGAGGCAATCCCACCCATCACGGATGAGATTGATGAACTCTCCGAGATTTTGTCTAAACACGGATATGCGGTCACGTACTTGCCCAACGCTTCCAGGACAACACTCATGAAGGCTCTCTCGGAGTTGGATGAGGACACATCTAGCTTTGTTTACATCAGTGGATACGGTGGGTTGATGAATGTTCGCCAGCCCCCACTCATTTCTTTGCATAGCCTTTATATTTCTATTACAGAAGGCGCTGGAAGAGCGACTCTTGAAGAGGAGTGTGGGGGTGCATATCGGAGAATGATGCAGGCGTTTCGTGATGAACGCCCACCTCCCAAGGTGCGGAAGGGAAAACGTAAGACGAATAGGTCTCAACCAAGTAAAAAGGCCTTGCAAGAAGCGGAATTGGCTGCGCGGCAGAGGGATGAATTATTTCGAATGGCTATTGCAGAAATAGAAAAGGAAGAAACATTTACACGTGAGGCAACTGCGGAGGAGTATGACAAGGAGGTCTTGATGATTATTCGAGAAATTAAACTAGCCACAGAAGCCACAAATGAATATGAACGTACATATAAGAGAGATTCTGGTGGTATGCATTTTGTTCTTCCATGTGAAGCCAGACTGATTGAGCCGTATGCAAATACGGTCTACGGTGTGGAAGAGTTAATGAACATTGCCCTTGAGCGCCAAATATCTCCCTTGGGACTTCAGCGTATTGTGGCCATCGATTTGGAACCCATCACCCCCATGTCTTGTGGCTCTGCTTGGGTCGCTAGCAGCACGGGCTACACCTTGAAATTTCCCTACCAACCGCAGCAGCGTCGTATTATGTCACACTTACTTTGTAAAGCATTTGATGGTCGTATGCCGTGTGTTTCGGCACATTTCAGGTACGCGGTACTAAAGGGAGGCATTGAGACAAACTCCGATGAAAGAGATTGGAGATCCTTTGCGACATATCTGGTCTCCAAGATGCAGTCTGTGTGTAGCAAAGCGGCACTCACTGAATTACGTGAGGAGCTGGATCGTGAAGTGCCGTTTGTTGCAGAGCTGATTCCTGTGCGGGGAATTGTTTTGGATTTGGATACCCGGGAAAGGCTGCGCCGTGAACGAGATTCAAAGGAAGTCCATGTCGTTTTGCGCTATGGCGTGGGAAGCTCCCATGTACAGCCCGATATGTTTGCTGTCTTCAAGAACGTTATCACCGTTGGCGTTCCGTTGAGGGAAATTGCGTTCAAGAACACAATTTACATTTTGTTTACACGATGCAATAAAGGCATTGATGGTCTTTTAATGGAACCACTTTTAAAGGAAATAGAGAGCTGTCGTCCCATTGGGTGCAACGTCCCTATTAGTGTTACCACCACCGCATTAGGAGTCCGCCTCTTTTTTGATAACAAAGACCCTGAAAATAAATTGCACGTTTCCCAGTGGGCCAATGGCATTGTGGTGCGGAGTCTCTCATGGCAGCTTCCTGTGAATTCGCTGCTTGGTTACCGTATTTTAGAGGTGGACCATGTGGAGTACCTGTACGAAGTGAAAATCACCTGTTCCCTGCGTAATTTGAATCGTCTAAAGAAGCAGCAACGCCAACAGCCTGTCCCAATGCCGTATTCACGTTTTTTGGCCTGTGAGGTTCTCCCCAATCCATCGTAGAGTTAAAGAGAAACACACACACACAAGGAAAGAAAATTTTTAAAGGAAAAGATACAAAAAAAAACAAAAGGAACCAGAGAGTTATGTAAAGACGTTTTCCCCTTTTTTCCGGTCTTTTTTTTTTTTTTTTTTTCCTCTTGCATGTTTATTATTATTATTATTATTACTTCTTTTTTTCATTGTATGTGTGTCTGTGTGTGTGTGTGTGTGTGTGTGTGTTTGTTGGAGAGGGGACGATTGATGTACAGCACAAATTGCCCTGTTTTATACCATTTCTCAAAGAGGGATTTGGCAGGAGGAGGAGAGAAGGAGAGAAAACCGGGTGCGGGGACATCACATTGGGGTTCAATGCGTTGGCAACCACATCTCGCCACGCCGTGAACTCACAATACGCATAGATGTGTATATATCTAGAAACAAAACAACAACAACAAAAAAAAAAAAATGAAATAATTTTTTTTCTCCCTCTTTCTCTTTCTTTTTTTTTTTCTTTCTTTTTTTTTATGTTTTCTCTACCGTTGCTGTTAATGTTGTTTTTTCGTTTGCTTGAAATAAAATATACTTGTCGCCGCCAACACCAAAAAAAAAAAAACATGGAATTAGTTTAGGGAACCTCATTTTTTCATTACAATTGGCGAGTGCCGTTGGAATATTGCGTGGGAAATGAAGCTAGTGAGGAGAGCAAGGAAGAGTATTCGTGAACGGCGAATGAAGGCCTGCCTAAAGGACCTGAGCGCCAACCTTGAGAAGGTGGAGATGCGGGTCTTCAGGCAGCAGAAAAAAGAACGGGATCGTTGGCGTAAAGTGGCGGGCATTAATTGCGGCATCCCGCCGGACGTGCGGATGGGCAAGATGAATCCGGAGTTGTATCGCATCGAATGTCGGCTTTACCGCGAGGCGGGTCTGTTGCCGCCACCTCCACCGGAGGGATGCGCACAGGAATCGAGCAGCGGCGTCACACGGCGAATTGGGTTTGTGGATTTCAACACAATTGCGCAGGCAGTACTGCGGCGCAGCCAAAGCCTTTTATAGCCGCCACCCATGTCTCTTTCTCTCTCTGTCTATACGTTTCAGTGTGTGTGTGTGTGTGTGTGTCCGTCTTTATTGCCGTCTTCTTTTTTTTCTCTACAAAAGAGGGAAGACGTCTTTATCTTTTTTTTTTTCCTTTCTTTTTACTTTTTCCGCTTAGTAAATAACAAACATGCAAAACATTATATCTTTTGCCGAGGCGGCGAAGCACACGAAGGAAGACGATTTATGGTTGATTGTCAACAAGAAGGTCTACGACATTACGAAGTTTGTGGACCAGCACCCAGGAGGTGTGGACACGCTCACAGGTGCGGCTGGTAAAGATGGAACGGATGATTTTAACTCCGTTGGCCACAGTGACTCCGCAAAGAAGGAAATGGAGAAATATTACATCGGCGAATTGGATCCAAATGACGCCGAGAAGCTCAAAGCGCCTTTAAAGACAA